TAACCGAAGGTTTTGCAATATTTCCAGTGTATTTTTCGAAAACCAAAAGAATGCAAGGAGCGCCACAAGATTTTAATGGACAAAAGTGCCGGTGATGGCGCTGATAGTGCTGAAGATTCAGGGTCTTCTCAGTCATACCCTTCTACACTACCTGGAATTCCAAAGGCATGAATATTTGCTTAATTTTTTTCTGTATTATAGCTACTCACATTACTAGATCCTCATGGTTGACCTAAGCTTTGCAGCTTTTAATGGTTAGTTTTTATTTATTTATTTAGCAGGGTAGTGCCAGGCAGTTGTTTCAACGTTTGCAAGGGCCAATGGAGGAGGAGACTTTGAAGACTCATTTTGATAAAATTATCTCAATTGGGCAGAAACAACGTTACCACAGAAATCAGGTTTGATAGAGAAGCATTTATGTTAAGTGGATTCTAACATGCAGTGACATTTAATAGTAGTTTTTATTAACTCACCTTTTCTACAACTGGTCAAGTCAGATGATTAGTAGTAAGTTTAAATGACCGGTAGTTAACCTAAATATTTGACAGTTGAATTTTAGTGTGGAAATGAGTAGTCGGATAATTCACTTGAGAGTGGTGTTTGCAGTTGTATGAATCTCTTTAAGATCCTACGTGTTTTAGCACTGGCTGAGTATTCTTCGACAAGAACTAACTAGTTGCCATGATGTTAGAAATCTCTACGCGTTGTGACTTTCCAACTTTTAACTTATTTACCAAAGTTTGTATTTAATAGTGCTTCCTTTCATGAATGTTTATTCAAATATTTGTATCCTTATTGTTTAACTTCATTTCCTTTTTGGAATTGGAACTCATATCTGGTTCAACTCCTGAATGGTTCAATAATACTGCTAGTTAAGAAGTTGGGCATTTGATCATTTTTTCCATTTTCTATTCTGTATGTGGGGCGATTGCCTAGAAAAACGCACACCTTGCTTTTGTTGACATCATCCACCCTAAGTATTTGGTTATTTTTGTCATTTTTATTCTGTATCTGTAGCATGTTTGCCTAGCAAACCACAAACCTTGCTTGTTGACATTTATTATGTAACTTTACTCTGATTTTGTATGGTTTGATATGGTACACGCACAACTGATTGATGTGATTATATAGAACGAATATTATGAACTATGTGCAGGATGGTAGTTATAGAATTAAAAATATGAAAAAATGTTCTAGAAAAATGAATTTGAAAAGAATTTATGTTGTCCTCCTCTTCTGTATTAGTTTATGTAGCATAGCTAATTTGAAAATCTATTGTTTAAATGTAGAATGATAACCAGGATTTAAAACAAATAGCAACTGTCCATAATTCTCATGTTATTGCTCTCTCCCAAGTTTGTCCAAACAACTTGAATGGAGGACTTTTGACGTAAGTTCTGTTTGATTTTGTACGTATATATTTATTGCACATTCATTTAGCCGCACATTTACATAGCAATTTTAATTTGTTTGGAACAAGAATTTTAATAATGTCTGAATTCTGGTTGAAGGCCCCTTGATCTATGCGATACAAATGTAACTAGCCCAGATGTGCTATCACTTGGGTATCAAGGTTCTCATGCTGGGGGTTTAGCATTACCAAATCACAGTTCTGTACCATCAGTGCTTCCTTCGACTGGGTTAAGCTCTTCTAACCCCCCGCCTTCTGGTATGAGTCTTGGCAATAACTTGTCGTCACCATCTGGTTCAATGGCAGCCTCTGTTAGGTTTGTAAATTTTATAATTGGATTTTATTGTGCTAGTACGCGCACGTGTGTGTACGCGCGCGTGCATAACAATCCTAGTAATGCAACATCTGGAGACTCCATTTTTTTCACAGGGATAGCAGGTATGGAGTTCCGAGAGGCGTACCCTTATCTGTAGATGAACAGCAGAGATTACAGCAATATAATCAGATGATATCCGGCAGAAACATGCAGCAGTCTAGCATGTCGGTTCCTGGATCTCATTCAGGAAGTGATCGTGGTGTTCGCATGCTTTCTGGTGCGAATGGTATGGGCATGATGGGTGGGATTAGCAGAAGCATTGCAATGGCAAGGCCAGGATTTCAAGGAATGACATCGTCATCTATGCTTAGTTCTGGGGGAATGCTTTCGTCTAGTATGGTGGGGATACCAAGCCCTGTAAATATGCATCCCGGAGTTAGTGCCGGACAAGGGAACTCAATGCTGAGACCCCGTGATACTGTACATATGATGAGGGTAAGAAGTGTTCCCGTTCTCTTAGGGTAGTTTTATTGAAATCATAGTAGAAATGATGATGGAATTTCCAGTATTGCTATGAAACTTAATATAGTCACATTTTTCTTCTCGTGGATTTTGATGGGCAATAAGTTTATAACTATATATTTATATAGTATTCTTTTTGTTTTGTTACAATTTATAAATGAGCTATTTTTTTCTTTCTTTTAATGATATTTCGGTTCACTTTTATTAGCCTGGGCATAATCAAGGACACCCAAGGCAAATGATGGTTCCGGAACTTCCAATGCAGGTCACCCAAGGAAACAGCCAAGGCATTCCTGCTTTTAGTGGGATGAGTTCTGCTTTTAATAGTCAGACAACCACCCCATCTGCTCAGCAATACCCAGGACATGTCCAGCAACAGTCTCATCTTAGCAATCCCCATCCTCATCTTCAAGGTTCAAATCACACAACAAATTCACAACAAGCCTATGCAATCCGATTGGCAAAGGAAAGGCAACTGCACCAGCAGCGTTATCTTCAACAGCAGCAACAGCAGCTCGCTGCAACCAATGCACCGATTCCACATGTTCAAGCACAAAGTTCCCAGGCCCAATCACAAAGTTCATCTCAGCAAGTATCTGTTTCCCCTGCAACACCATCATCTCCCTTGACTCCAATGTCATCCCAGCATCAACAGCAGAAACATCATCTGCCACAACCTGGGTTCAGTAGAAATCCTGGTTCTAGTGTGACTAGTCAAGCAATGAAGCAACGACAACGGCAGGCACAACAGAGGCAGTATCAACAGCCTGCGAGGCAGCATCCTAATCAGCCACAGCATGCACAGCCTCAACAGCAGGCTAAACTTTTGAAGGGAATAGGAAGAGGAAACATGTTGATCCATCAGAACAATTCTGTTGATCCTTCTCATATAAATGGATTATCTGTAGCTTCAGGAAGCCAACCTGTTGAGAAAGGTGATCAAATCACACAAATGATACAAGGTCAAACTTCATATCCTGGATCTGGTTTAGATCCAAGCCAACCACCCAAGCCCCCAGGTTCTGCTCATCCTTCTAATAATTGCCAATTGCAGCAGAAGGTACATTCTGGATCAACCAGCTCTTCATTGAAGCAACATAAGCCATTGGCATCTCCTTCTGACAGTAACATGCAAGTTCAGGTTTCACCGGTTATTTCAGGTCATATAGCTACACCAACACAGCCTGCCGCTGTTGCTCCCAACCATAATCAACTACAGGTGCAATCTAAGACACAGTCTAAGCAAATTAATCAAACACAACCAAATGTTCAGGTGACATTGCAACATAACTGCCAGGTGCATTCTGAGTCATTAAGCGCGTCTCAACCTGATTCACTTAAAATTGATCAACAACCTGGAAATAGTACTTCTCAAGTCAGTACAAGCACCTCAATGTCTCAAGGTTCTATGGATTCAGCCAGTGTGTTAGCAGTTGCACCTACCGCGTCTTCTCAGTGGGAAACTTCAGAACCACCATTTGGTTCCCCCATGCCCAATCCAGTTATTCAAGTGAGCTCTATGGAGGGCACATCTGTTGGAAATTCTGCTGCAACTGAGTCATTGACTGTTAATCAAGGGCTGGGCCCACGACAGTCATCGGTTAACTTGCCTTCTCATGCACATACTTCCGGGGCACAGTGGCAGCATCATCAGCCTTTGTCTCTTAAACAACAGTCTTTGTTGCAACCGACTGTATCTCAACAGTCATGCCAACTACCAGAACAGCATCAGCCGCAGCAACAAGAGCAGGAGCAACATTTTCCCAGAGATGCGGCTTTGCAACATCAACCTCAACAAGTTCAAAATCTACAACCAGAGCAGAGCAGTTTGCTTATCCGTCCACCTAACTCTAATGTGGAATGATGTCTTTTGATGGATGGAGCAGCTGTGAGTGTGCTCGGTTCTGTCAGGACTAGAATCTATAGGCCCTTTTGTCAGCACTGTACAGGTATTTCTATTCTGCTTAGACTTGTATATGAACTTTAATTTCATAAATACTGAATGTAACATTTATTTCGTCAAGAAAATAACGCGACTATGTATTGCAGGTATATGAATAGTTCATATTTGTTCTATTATCCTAATGATTGCGCATTAGATTTTGTCCCGAGTGTGACAAATTTGTGCTTTTTTCCACTCTTTCTGGTTGTATTCATATATTGTCGCATGGTAGAATATATAGAAATATATTGTAGAAGAAAATAGGAGAAAACTTCAATTATTTTATGGGTTTTGTGCAGATGAAGCTGGTCATTCATGTGGGCTTTGGGATATGGAGACGGAAATCCATTGTTTACCGCTGGTCCTGTTAAATGATTAACAAATTTATATTGGTAGGCAGCAGTGTATGCTTTATTCTTCTTTCAAAAGTCTTGTATATTACCACTGTTCTTAGAGGGGTTCTTCTCCCATTTAATTTTTTGGAAAGAGGCGAAGATAGATGTACATGTACAGGGTCGTCTCTTTTTTCCTTGTACTTTCACCCCTTTTTTTTTTTTTTCTTGTTCTCCCTGCCTTTGTGCAGAGGAACAATTTTTTGTTCTGTTAGATTAGATTATGTATTATTATACCCTGTTAGATGTTTGGGATAGCAATCATTTTTATGAGCAAAAGCCAATTCAAAGTTTTGTGAATACAGTATTTCTGATATATGGACTAATCGATAGTGTGTTTACATAATACTCCCCTCTGCACCTGTGAATTTTTTAAAATTGTAAGGAATCATTTCAGTTTCTGAAATGTGACAACAACAAGTCCAAGCTTATTTTCCTGTGTAGAAACTCTATGTCCTTTTGTTCAAAAAGCAGATGTCAACAAGTTGCTCTAATGGGAACCATTATTACAAGGTTTGAGATGTGAAATTGGTTAATATATTTGCCTTATTTGTTTGCTATTTTACTGAGCTGCATGCTGCAACTTTCTCCACTTTGTCCCCCCACCCCCAATCCAATCCTTGAATGGAGATGGCACTTTTGAGTTCCTTCTAGTATTTGCTTAAGTTTCAGAGAATGATATTAATGATATTTGCTTAAGTTTTTCTTTTAGTAACTGATTGCGATGTGCTACCATGCACGTTGAAGTATTATTTGTGTTTTCAAAATGTAATTGAAGTTTTGCTTCAATCAATATCTGTAAAGAATAGCAGAATGGTGTTGCTGAGGGATGCTGAGACATTCAATATTGTTAGCATGGTAAGAATGAATTGTTTGGTTTTTTGTTGTTGGGATCTATTAACATTAACACGATCTCTAACAATCAGACTAGATTTTCTTGCCATAGGAATATAGGATAAATGTTAATATTTTTAGTAGTTTACTAATAATTGAAATGACTATCTATGTTCTGGTGTAAATGTTCATTGTTACTTGGAAAACCTAATTCAATTTATTTGAAGTGTTGGAAACATATTTTCAACTCTATTTTATTCATAAATGTGCCTTTGACATCAAATATTAGTGCTTGATTATTAACCATACATAACTCTGTTAATGTTATCCTAGTAGAATTTGCACATTCTAGTATATTCGAAGTTGATGATTTGTATGAACCAAATTTGAAGGTTGCAAGAGCCTGAACTTAATTATAAGGCCGCAACGTCACATCATTTTATGCTCAATTTCTTTGGTGTGTATATTCTGTATCAATTGCATTATGTCTCTGAATAGGAGCGCTCATAACAAGTTCCCTTTTCACCCTGAGATTTTGTTTCCCTTTTTAATAAAATTAAAGAGCGCTCATAGCAAATTCCCTTTTCACCCTAAAGTTTTGTTTCCCTTTTTTATAAATTTGATGTTCTCTGAATAAACTATCGGTTTAATTCCTGAAATATGTAAATATATCAAGTGGTCTCATAATTATCTTAAAGGTTAGATTGTATTTCTTTTAAAATTTTTAAAAAGTGGATATCTTTATAAAGTTAGCGTATGTTAATAAGATGATAGATATTAACTTGATCATTGTTCTAATATTTTAAAGATTAAATTGGCAAATTCTATATATTTTTGAGACTAAGGTGGTGAGAATATTTTAGGAACTCAATTGATATTTTATTAATATTGTGAATGATGCATTTGCAGTCAATTCATTCAGGATAATTTATTGAACATATGTTGGGGTATCAATAAAGAGAGAGAATTGCACATTACACCCTCATGAATTACCCTCACTTAGTGAAATTTCAAAAATACTTAGAATCTTGATTTTAAAATTCGGATGAATTAAATATACAACTAACTCTCTTTGAAACATTTCAAAATGTTAAAAAGGCCTTGTTTTTGAACTATGGATTAACAACGAATAAATATTAAAATTCAGATGCATCCCAACATACCACGTTAAATCTAATCTCAGAGTTAGGGGTAACAATCTGGGTCTAATTTATTGACGTTGTTCGCATTTTAGTGCGGCGCAGACTAATGATTTATGTCCATACTTTTTAATGTGTTCGCATGGTCCCTCTTTTAAAAATATATAAGGGGTTTTCTTGGGTTTTAAAACGCGGATTGACCAAGTTATAAAACTTATTGAATAAACATACATAACTAATTTTATCAACAATAGATTTAGCCATTTAGCCATTTGATTGTCACCCTTGACTTATTTGGTCTCTGCAAATTTAAGTCTTCAATGCGGTATTAGGATTGGTGACAATCACACATAGCATGTTTTTTTTATCTTATATTTCCGTTCATGTAAATACTGTCTTTTTCTTTTTTACTTTTCAAAAGCACAACTGAATAAGTCATATATACAACAGTAACACCAATAATTTTTAAAAGTGAAAGTTTCTACTTATAGATCTTATACATTGAATTAGTTATCAGTTTAGTGAAAAATATGTTGAACAACTTGATGGAATCATGATGATTCTAAAATATATTTTGAACATATACGCACTTTGTATCTAGATATATAATGATTATCATCTAACAACTTCAATAATTGTTGCATTTCATATTTTAGATCTCTTATGACCTTATTGTTTTAGGTGAGAACATTGTCTATTTGCCTAATATTTGATAAACTTTCAGGTGTTTTTCTTTTTAAAGTTGCAAGTATGTTTTTGGACTAAACCATGTTCAAAATCATGTCAGAAACAAGATTCTTCTCTTCAAAATTAAGACGATATATAATTGGATGACCGACTAATTTGTGTCACAAAACATAATTACGTGTACCACAAATTACACTAAATGTGTATGTATTAATCACTTTGTAGTACTCACATAAATTAGAAGAAAATCTATATTTCCTCGATCCAATGTTATTCCATTTCAACTTCCGAATAAGATATTTATACTTACCACTTCTATAACATCTCATAGTAACAAATATAATCCACTAATAATATTGTCAAACCCTAGTTTAACAGCCTCCTTTTTATTGAAAAATTCTTTTCCAAATTTTACTTAGATATCACTTGGTTTATCATCCTTAACTGTAGTAGCTTTAGTGACAACATCATTGTACTCGATAACTACAACAAATAAAAAATAAAAAAGATAAGACCATTTAAATCCACAACATGTCTATCCTTATTATATTTTTTACAACTCTATATAAAATTTAACATATATCGGTTTGTCTTTCAAATGGAAGTACTTTTCATTACTACAGAAAAATTCAATTTTTAAATATATTTGAATTACAAAATGTCATGTTTTTACCTCAATTCCATTTGTCTTATTTAAATCTGTCAATTAATAATGACATTGGATTACAAGCTTATATATATGAATCGTGTTAGAAATATGAGCAACTACTTTAGGAATTAGAATTTGTAACTTTGGAATGATGAAAAGTGCATGGTGAAACCAAAGATAGTTAATATTGTATGTGCTGAGAAATCAAGTGGATTTTATTTATTATGAGCTATGATCATGTATGTTTTGATCAAAGAAGGTTAAGGAGTATTATACTATGTTTGATGAGGTTTTGGATGGAAAATAAATATGACTATATGAGTTTCTATATGTTTGATTTATGTTAGGGAAGGCTTGACTCAGATAGTGGCCATTATGGTCATTGAATCGAATCAGGGGGTGCATGAATCGAAGCATGAAGTCAGGATTACACCCCTAAACTTTCTGAATTGGATCAAGAGGTTCCATGACTCGGATCATGACCCCAAAAATCCCAAAAACAAAACCTTATTTTATGCCTTAAAGTACTTGTTTAAGATAGGTAATAATCCCTAAGGCCAATGTAATGACACAAGGCTTAGATATTATCGATACAATTACTTAGAAATAAAGGTGAAGTAGAACTAAGAATTGTAAAGGATGAACGATGAATTATGTATTGAATTAAGACTAGTCATAACTACTAGATGTCAATGTATAAGGCTTGATGGAAACTTTGAGTTGTGAGGAACTTATATTTTCTATTGTAGCAAGTATGCATATATAGAACAAATGTTTGATTAATTACTTACACATATGTAAATATATTACTTACTATTAAATTATTACATAGGGCTAAATGAGAATAATATGATCCACCGTAGTTAAGTGGATTCTAAGTTTATACATGACATGTAACTCCTGGTAAGTGGGGGCATGACTTACAAGATAGTATATCTCCAATCTTACTTAGTACAACATGTTAAATTTTTATCATATGGTGATCATGATTTCTCAAACTTAAAACAGATTTGTTATAGTTTCTTTGATGATAAGACTCTCTCTCTCTCGTTCACTTATCAGATATGTTTAGATTCTTAAACTATTTTCACGTTCAGGGATCTAAACACTTTGGCTCAGGTTATACTCAGAACACATTCATACTATAATATAATCATAGTTATACTTAGAGACTCGATTAAGTTATTCTTAGAATTTTAATAAGTATATCTAGGTAATAAT